TAATTATAATAAACCCATTATGATTAGTTATAGCTATTCTGTTCTGATATGTACCAAACAGAAGCTAGAATAATTAATTTATCTATTGGTATCTACATCTGTTTACGTTCGACCCGACAAATCATCTTTAGGTAGTATAAAAAAGTCGTCTATTTCTCCGTTTACTTTTAAACTGCACAAAGAATTTTCATATAGGTTTCACTGTTACTTAGATATGTGTGTGTGTTGTGGCTGTGTTTCGGTTTGAATATATTAACACCTAAGTCCTCAGGAATGGCAACGCATGGGGGGTATCATGGGCGAAACAGTATACTCTGTTATGTCCACGGTACTGCTCATGTGTATAGGCGACGGTTACCACTTTCCATCAGGTGGGCCGTCAGCTTGTTTGCCATTCTAAGTTCTATAAAAAAAAAAAAAAAAAAAAAATATATTTTACAATAGCTTATGTTGCTTTTATTTATTTTTTAAATGAATAATTTTTTTTTAACAAAATTAATTTATATGCAATTTTAATTGTTTTTTTTAATAATCTACCGTACAGTATGGACTACAATTTCAGTTGAGGGTACCGCCAAGAAACACAGATATTGCTTATTTCAAATAAAAGTTGAGTTTACAGTAAAAAAGTTAATGGATAAAATGACCATATATATCATACATATATAGTTTTTTTTATCAAAATGTCATATATGTGTATATGACATTCTAATAAAAAAAAAATTACAATTTATCACAGTATTCTCAAACACACCAGTCTCTACTAAAAACACCCGTTTACAAGTATGATTTATAAGCCAGCCATCGTTATGTTCAACTATATTTTTTATACCACTAAGGTGGTAAACAAGCATGCAGCCTACCTGATGGTAAGCAGTTACCGTAGCCTATGAACGCCTGCAATATCAAAGGTATTACGCGTGCATTGCCGACCCTGAAAAAACCTCTTTACCTTCCTTTTGAAGAACCCCATGCTGTAGTCTCTTGGGAAAATCCCAGCAGGGAGCTCATTCCATAACCCGAGGGTTCTTTTTTTTTTTTTTTTTTATGCTACTTAGAATGACAAACAAGCTGACGGCTCACCTGATGGAAAGTGGTAACCGTCGCCTATAGACATGAGCAGTACCATGGACATAACAGACTATACTGTTTCACCCATGATACCCCCCATGCGTTGCCATTCCTGAGGACTCAGGTGTTATTCCTCTGTACCCTGTAAATTCACGCCATATCCCACCCTTCAAACCGAAACACAGTCATGCAAACACAACTGCTTCACGGTTGAAACACGAATGGGACAGAGGTACCCAAGCAATCGACTTTTGTACAAAGTCTCCCTCTGGTCTGGTTCGTGGGAGTTCGTCCATATTCTAGGGAGCCAAATCGAGACATTATTGTAAACATGTTTCAATATATGCGATTACGTAAAAAATTCTAAAACAGTCACAAAAAAACACAACTATAATCTCAGTAGGTAATATGAAGTGTGGACGTACGACTATTATTATACGATATGATTGATTCAACAGGGATCAGCTGCAAACAGAGGGATCCCGTCAACAAACTCTCAGTCCCGCAAATATTTGTTATGTTCGTTTCATTCTACATCCATTCAAGTATCATTTCCTAGTAAAATATTGGATTTAAAAAGCAATTCCTTGTTTTGAAAATCCTTACCAGTATTATAATATAGTGAATGTTTGTTTGGGATATATAAAGATATAGATTATTTTCTGTCTCACTTGAAAATATTCGTTTTGGTAATACTAAGGAGAACGAAGTCACAGACGTTGCTAGTCTTAGTCGTATATAATTTAGAATTTTGTTTGCCAAAAACCAAATTCAAACTTAATAAATTTAAAATAAGTATAATAAATAACTGTCAAAAATAATTTAAAATTTAGTAAAAAGTGAGCATATTTAATTAACTGTTTCTAACTTAAAGTGACTTAAACTTGTGGTTTGACATCGCAGTGTATTAAATGATGTCCACTGTCCAATAAACATATCCATATATAATATTATATTTGGTCATCTGTCAAAGTTGTTTTTAATCCAAGTTATAAAAATAATTTTAGATTGTGTTCCACAAAAACCTACTTTTATTGTAGCAAAACCAATTATTTTGATTTCAAAACTAAACTATTGCAAATATATCCTTTTAGACAAAAAAGATTTTTCCTTATCGATTTCTAACTAACGAAGTTATTAGATAACAAACTTTAAAAAAGATATAACCGAATTAAGAACCTCTTTTTTTACGTCGATTGAAAAATAAAGGCTAAAAAAACTGAACTTCATTGAATTATATTATTTTTTTAATACGAGTATACCTATTCGTAAAAACAATGAAAATATATTATTTTTTTAATATACCTGTTCGTAAAAACAATGAAAATATATTATTTTTTTAATATACCTATTCGTAAAAACAATGAAAATATATTATTTTCATGACTCCAATTTGCAATAGAGTGACACGACTCTATTTATTTATGTCATACTTTATTGTAGAAGGATTTAGTTTGTTAACAGTGTTAGAGAGTCAATTGAAAATTTTACGCATAAATGATTCAGTGTCAGCTAGGTTTGAACTCATGACCTTTGAGGTACACATAGTCTGAAAATGGATGGAACGACGATCTCTAGAAATAAATAATGTGGTATTGAACATTCAATAAAACATGATGAAGTTATTGGGCAATAAATTTGTGAATAAATAAGCAGTAAATATATTTAAATTCGATGATATACAAATATGGCCGTATGGTTCCAGCATAGACTTTTTTTTCATAGATGAAAATTATAATGAAATGGTAACCCCGCCTGTGCTATCAGTATACACTGGTGGGGCATTAGTGAGGGATGATAAGTGAAAATGAAAAAGCAGGTCAGTTAGCCCATCGTACAGAATACATCTGGGATTCAGTACGATAGTTTCCAGGGTGAACCACGTGGAGGTCTACCTGATAGGGTATATTGCTAACAAAGGGACTGGTAGCCCGCATTACTGACAATCCCTTCTCCCCGGCATAGGTTAGGCCACCCTTTTTTTCCCGTGGGTATGGTATTTTATGGGATTATATAAATGTTATAAATAAGATATTGAAGGATATTTTGAATCTATATTAAAATTTAAAACTGTTGTTAAAGACCACTTATTGAATAAAACTTATTTATTACATATTAAATACGATTACTTGAATGACAAACTGACATTGTGTTAATCGAAAGAATAACTTTTGATTTTCTTGTGGGTCTTCTCAGTAAATCAAAATATTTCAAATACAGCAGTAAAATTATTAAAAGATGACAATTTAAAAGAGTTTAGTGTGAACAAGTCTACTTGAATAAAGATGAATTTGAATTCGAATCAATATAAAAAATATATAACGTGTAGTAAAAAAGAATCAGAATGTTTTAATGTTTGTTACTCAATTACACTCTCACGAGTAAAAGGTAAACAAATAAATTTATGCAGGATCACGCTTAATAAATAATATACTTGATTAACACCGGATGCTTTCTGTCACGTAATATACACGAGCAAAGTCATGGGAAACATCTCGTTAGAAATAAATCTAACATGTATAAGTTACAAAAACCATTTTACAATTCAGCCAACATTTATTTGGGGGTAATTTAAAAACGCAGTGTCCGGAACGACACGGCGCCGGTGACAGCCATCTTGTGTACAAGATTTGTTCCGGAAAATATTTAGTCTATTTCAGAGTTAGTGATGTGGCCTTTTTGTAGCGAGTTTCAAATGATATAAATATAGTCGGTGGATCTAGTTTATCCATTAGAGAGTAACATGTAGTTTAAAATTATTTATGATCATTTGGTGGTGTATAATAATAAAATGATGTGATGAAAGCTCGATATTACTTACGTTTTTTGCCTGCTATGTCGTATGTGTGAATCACGCTGCTGCCCATTTTTCACCCTCCCTTAGTTGCCTCTTACGATACCCACAGTAAAGGAAGGGGTGGCCTATTCTATGCCGGGACCACACGGATTGAACAAAATTCAACAAAACTTTTTTACGATTTATAGTCGATTGGGTTTACTCATTCGTATATTCGTTTAATGATTGAAGCTGCTGTTTTCTTTGCACAGTAAAAAATTGCTTGTTGCAAATATCTATTGACTTATACGATTCCGCATTGTAAATTCAAATATTTATATTTTCTGTGTATTTCGTAACTACTAAAATCGCAGTCTTTTTCTGTACATTTTTTGTAAAATAAATTATTAATTGTTATTTGAATGATCGTTAGCATTAAAAAAGAATCGAATTTTGTATATTGAATAGATGAGTATGCGAGTATCCATTATGTATTCTAGTCACTATTCGAGTCAGCTTGACTCAGCACATCACTATTTCAGTGGCATTTCGCTTAGAAAACTAGAGATTTGTCTTGCTATCCGCAAGCGGATATATTTTAAATGTATCCTTTCGTAATTCTCATTTATCTTCCTTATTTTATCGTCAGCACATATTTATGATTGTAATATTCAGGATTGGTTTAAGGAATAGTTTCTTTACCTACACGTTTATATATTTCTTTACCTTCTTATTCATAAAAACGTCAATCTTTGTTATCTCATAATTCTGTCAGTTTTAAATAGATATCGAAAACTCTTTTTTTATCTAAAAGGATGTACTTACAGATCGGTTCCATAGAAATTTAAAAAATTGGTTCACTGGTTTAATTTTTAGACCGTTTTTTTTTTTTGTGGGATTGGTACAATCTTTAATTAACGTGTTTTATCTTTTTCTTTTCCGCTAAATTCTTAAAAACAAGGATAAATTTGCAAGATAGTTACAAAACACTTTGCAGAAGGTTTTAGTTTTTATGTATAAGTCTTTATAAAGTGATTTTTCTACTGAATATTAACTAGAACATGAAATTTTGAGTACAGGTAAAGATTGTATTTTAAAATAAATTTAATTTACTGCATATTTTTATATTATATTATCTTTTTTTTTGTTTCAGTTTACGCCAGATGCCTCAATAAACCGGTAAGTTTAAATATTTTATCGGTAGCTTGTATTGACAGCATTGATTGTAGGGTTTAGTGCGATTATTTCGAGTTTGTATTCGAAATTATTTTTTTTTATATAATGAAATGAAACAAAAATGTTTTATCGCGAACGCGGTTAGATTAATATAAAAATTAAATTGAGGAATAATACAAGTGCTATTGCAAAGATTATTGCATGATAGATCTATACTTATAGGTAATATTATAACGAATATTAATTTTAAAAAACCAAAACGCATTGATAGTCCTATTGCTGAACATAATGCCCAATAAAAGAGGAAAATTATTTCAATTTTGAATTTTTGAGATTATTATTAGATACGTATAATAAAAAGAATAAACTATGTAATAAAGAATGATATCAATTATATAAAAAATAAATAAATTGTCTAAATTGACTTTAAAACTGAACTGCTCGGACCAGATGATAACCTATCATATAACACCGTGGTGAATATTTGTGACAAAAATATATTTATTCGTCCAACTCGAAACGCTAGTCCCATAATGCGAGGCAAATATTGAAAATGCTAAAATAAAAAGTTTCGACTCGTTTACGGTGCAAAAGCCAAGATCTTTCTGAGTACTTCCTTCAAGAAAGTTTGTCACTGATTTGAATAACAAGAGAAACCTTTTTTGTTTCACTCTACCTACTTCCCCCCGATGTTTAGTCTTGTTTTATATAAAATGTGGTAAAATTTGTTAAAGCACCCACCTAAAGTTTGTTTTGGGATGATGTTTACTCGATTTTGACAACAGATGAGCGTCTACGAGCTCTTTTCATCCCATAATACCTATGGGATATAAAGGGTAAAACTTTTCATGGATTCAATATTACTCAGCAATGTACAAAGTTATCTATCTGCTTGGGTACGTCTATCCTACTCGCGTTTCTGCTGCCAAACAACCCCATAGGGTGAATGTCATAAAATACATGTCTCTGCGTAACTGTATATTCTTACCGACGGTTATCATTTCTTTTCAGGTGACTTCTCAGCTTATTTGCCATTTGAAGTTATTTAAAAATCAACTATTAATATACATTTGATTTGAGTTTCCACGCTTGGTAGGCGGGTTGGCTATCGCAGTCAGGTAATATTTTAAGAGAGATGTTACTGCCTATCTCTTAAGTTTTCTTAGACACCCACGGGAAACGTAGGGGTGGCTCATTTTACGTCGGGAACACACGGCATTGTCTTTGAATGATTCATAAGAAATATTTCACGTGATATACCGTTTTCTGGGCATGGTTATGATGGAAGTACTGGGTATGGAAGCATAGTACCTTAGTTCATAGAAGTGCAAAGAGACACTATCAGGAATCAGGTACCGTTGAAGTTAGTTTTTTTTTTAATAAAATGCAACCGATATTATTCGCTGATAATGTAGCTTTTTATAGGGAAATGAACTTTTAAAATAAGTTAAGTAGTTTTCGAGAGTACCCATTACAAACAAATAATCAAATCTTTTCTGTTTATAATATTAATATAGGAGTATAAAATTTCGTTGTACTATTTTAGTATGAAAATATCTGAATTCAAGAACAACTTCTATAAATTGTATGACATCGTACATATACATAATACTGTGTCAAAGTAGGTTTAACTATTATACAAAATCTAATACCAGTTTAAACTACAAGTCGGAGGTCGCAATTTACTTGCTAAAGGACCTTAGCTGCCGACCGCTTGCAAATTGCTGTTCAGATAACAACTAAATATAGATAGACAACTCTAGCAGTGAAAATTTATGTCTGACATCAAAAATAAGGTTATAAATTTAACGGTGTTTTTGTAATTAGCTTTTATTTAACTTTAGATTATAAGTTTTTTCCTTCTAAATTTGTTATGTATTGTTTAACCAATTGCTGGTATTTAATAACGTTTTAATTTAAGCATACTTATATATATATATATATATATATATATATATATATATATATATATATATATATATATATATAGAACTCGTTGTTAAAACTATGCATAATAAATTTGTATGAAATAAATTCTTTTATGATATTTTTGTAAAAATTTAACTAGTCATTCTTGTAATAAACATATTAAATTATATATTATTGAAGTTTATTAACGATAATGATTTACCATATATGCAACTGTTTGATCTTAAATTAAATTACAGGCAACGAAGGAAATATCTCGTTTCTTAGAAATGATAATGCATGAGAGGTATCACAGGCGTCACAGTATATTCTTTGATGTCCACGATGGCGTTTATCGCGAAGTGACAGTTACCACTTGGGGGAGGAAATTAATACTAACTGGGACTAGAGATCCTATTACGTTATGACTTTGCTCGTATATTGTAAGTGTATGCCTTTTCGTATAATAAGATACCGAAAAATATTTTGGACTTACCTTTTAATAAATTTAATATTGTTATTAAATAACACTTATTGAAGTAATCCTATTACATACTAAATACTTGAATGACTAAGGTGCATGGTGTTAGTCGATCATGCACGGCCTTCTTAATGACTATGTTTTACAGAGATTTAAAAGAGTAACTATTGAGTTTCTTGCGGGCTTTTCTCGGCAAATAATGACTGTTTGTACCCTGCAGTTGATTTAAAAAAGTGACGATTTAACACTACTTGTCAACATGTATGTCTATAGGCGACCGTTACCACTTTCCATTAGGTTGGCCGTCAGCTTGTTTGCTATTCTAAGTTGCATAAAAAAATAAGTCTATTTGAATAAAGATTATTCGAATTTGAATTTGAATTCAGTGAAAGTAAGGTCATCATTCCATATTTATCCCATAAAAAAATAATATCCCCATATTAAGCCTTCAGTAAACAAATTAAACTCAGATTTTTCCATGACAACTACCATATTATGAATAAGCACGATTCCTATAACCTGAAAAGCACACACGGACGCATGGAAGCAATTGCAATAAATCAGAACCTTGAAGTTTTCCGGCCTGCTACAGAATTTATTGAACTGCTAACAAGCTCCCGAGAGATGAAATGTTTTCATCAGATATCATTTTTATTGGATTGCACTTTTAAACCACTTCGAAATTGTGAAGGTTCTCATTTTTATTTTATTTTTTTAAGTGATATCTTTGTTTTTTTTTTACATATATAATGCAAAAGACAAACAAGCATGCGGTTTAACGGATGGTAAGCTACTACCACTTTTGATTTGAAATTAAATTACGCCCATAAAGTAGGTTTATTTATACAAACAAGCATACAGCCTGCCTGATAGTAAATAGTCACTAAAGCCTAGGGGCGCCTATAACACTTTTTGAAGAGCTCTATATATCATTTTTCTATAAATATAATGTTAAAGATATTAATTTAAGATAGCATTTTAAACATATAGTCTACTTTGAAATATCGATAAATGAACAACAGCTAAGATATTCAATACCTCTACTTCAAGTATTCTGAATAGCAACACAAATGGTTTGAAATTTCATGCAAGTTTGATCATTAATTGGGGTATCCTGGTACGGCGATACTATATAATATTATCTGTCACTGATATTTGCTGCACAATTATATATATATAAACTTTATGAATTGTTGGTATCCATTTATCATCCATCCAAGAACTATTAGAAATGGTAAATACAGTAAGTTAATTTCCCGTTATATATATATATCCAAGGACTAACAAAGGCGAGCCTGAAATACGCGCAAAAAAAATACAAACAATAGAGTGCCCTCCACGTGGTGCCACCTGGAAATCATTGTTATTATCTCTTGGTGAATTCGTCACGATAACCCAATTGACTCGACTTAATCCCTCCCTTAATGACTCCCCATCATCTCTCGTCGGTACCCTGCCAAGTCGGTGCCCTCTACCTATAACGTATGCAGATGTTGAAAATTGCGACCTTTTCTATTTCTTTTTTTTATTAGCCATATATTTTTATTTTATCTGTCACTGATCTTCTTTTGTTTTTTCATTGTAAATTTTACTTTTAAATATACGGAAGCTTCTCATTCTTATAAGGCGATTACTTATTTATTATTTGCCGTAAAAACTGAGAATTCCATCATACTCCCCAACAACAGGATACCATTCTATTTTAAAAATCTTATTTAATGAAATTTGAATAAACTGATAGTAATTCGGTTATAGGGAAGAAACTGGTAAAGAACGATACGACAATCTGACCAAATGGCAGTATAACTGAATAAAAGGTCAGTTAGTTAGGTCAACAAACGAAAGAAAGAATGCAAAAAAAGTCGAAATTTAATACTTCATACTTCGCTGGAAAAAACTATGGATGACAATAATCGTTCTCGTGTTGACAGCGATTGATAAAAATGTTTTAAAATGTACTTTATTTGTAGTATTAAGAGAAAATCGTCAACAAGCCAAATTAACCCGTGTGATGACGGTAGGCCTATTTTCTGGCATGTTATATTCTAATACTCGTATTGCTTAAGGAAATCTGAGCATATCAATTATTATTTACCAAAATGGCAACAGTTCACAAATGCTGTGTAAAACGAAAAACCAAAAGAAGGATTTTTAACTTTTTAGTATTATTATTGTGTAAACAAAGATTATTATAATTATTTTTTCATTAATAGTTTATTTTTCCATCCAATAAATGAAATAATTTCCATAATAATATACTTCACTAAAACGTCTACAAACTCGTACTATACCCGTTTGAATGTAATAAAATTACGACTCGAAAAAGGAAAAGGGTTGCTATTTGATACGAAACCTAACAAATGGGGAACATTAAAATCGCCCGAGTTTTCCTTGGATCAAATAACTAGACCATTCTGGATACAATCGGACCAATCCACATTGTCTGGATTTGTGGCGTTTTGGGCAGTCATTCATATGGTAAATTCTAAAAGTTTTATATATTTTTTCCACTTATTTTTAGATGTTTTATTGACAATGTGTAAAAATATTTTTCTTTTCCAAATATATTGAACTGAACGTGTGTATTTTTACAATCTCTGAAAAGCATGTTTAG